GCTCCTCGAGGAGGGCGGCGGGCCCGACCCAGCCGAGATCCGGCGCAAGTTCCTCACGACCTTCGTGCCAGCCGAGGTCCTGACGGAGGCCATGCCCAGACACGGTTGGTCAGAGGGCGAGCTGGGACGACGGCAGTTGGCCTTCGGGTGGCCCCCGCGCGCACCAAGGCTGGACGCCTCTCGGAGAACTGGTGCGTTTGGACCCCGCGAGAGGTCAGGGGATCGATTCTGAGTTGCCGTCGTCTCAGCTTGCCGTGCTCCGAGCTTGGGCCCCCTCCAGCCACAGCTCAGAGGAGGAAAATATACTTTTCACCGCTGCTCGTCCTGGAGAGCCCTCCCCAGCAGAGGTCGGTGGAGTAGCCCACAGAATGTGTTTTTTCTTATTCAGCGTTTCGGCAATGGGCGAAGGGGGGGGGCGGGAGTCTGGATCCGAACCTCTGCGTAGTGATACTGTTTGAAGCAGTGCCACAACAAGATGTTCAAATTATTCTGGAATGTCACAGCAAGAGAACGCACCGCAATCATACATCCAAAAACAAGTATAACGGAGCGGATTTTTCTTCAAACACATGGTGAATTAATGATAAGGGGGAAAGCTCGTGGGGGAATCCTGTGGGGAATCTCGTGGGGGAATCCCATCACGAATCCCATGGGGAAATCTTATGGGGGAGACTTCTTGGGGGATCCTACGTTTGATCCCGAGTGAAATTAGATTTGGCATCCGATTGGAATATTCAGGGTTTGCTCCTTTACAACGCATCTGGCACCATGGAGCCCCTTTCTTGCTTTCCCGAGGGCCGCCCCGAAAACACAATGCACAGTTGCTCGAAACAAAGATTCGCGTGTCCACCGGGGTGGGGGGAAAGGTGGCGTCCGTGGTTACTCCATTTGCTTGAGACAGGCGCTAGAAACAGCCAAGATCTACTCCATGGGGGGGGCCGAGGGCCCGCGCCGATCGGCAAAACAATGAATAAGAAAACGATCCGACGAGATAAATATTGTTCGATGCGGGTGTTTTTCCTTGGACTCGGCTTTCGGGGCCCGTTTTTCAAGCCCCGCGGGGCCTTCAAAAATGGATCCGGGACCAAAGTCTACCCCCAGAACAGTCAGGATCTCTGGGGCCGCGGATTGAAAACATTAAGTTATATCGTCGGATGTCTCGGGTCGAACAAGGAAAGTAGGCAAGAACAAAAAGTTTCGGGGTTCCGCGCGGATTTTTTGGATCGGCGCTGGAGCCCCCTCCCGGCGCCAGAGGCACCGCCAATGTGTCCAGCGCCGATCCACAAACGACGCGGACCTCCGAAAGCTTATGTTCATGCCATGTTGTTTCCATCGGCCGAAGCCGCGGGCGGTCTCTGCGGCAGGCTCGTGTCGTGTCGGCGTGGCCACAGCGCGGGCGTTCAAGGTTGCGTGCCGCCTGTGGCTGGGCCATCTGCCAGTATCGCACCGTCGGCGCCATCTCAAGGCCGCGATCGTTCAAGGTTGAACGATCCATGCAATCGGGGGTGTTCCAGAAAGGGGCCTCGCCTTCAGCGCATCCTCGCCCTCATCTGGAAGCCGGCGGAAATACAGCGGCTGCGGGTCCGCCGGCAGAAGTAAGAGTGCGACGTCAAAATGTTTGAAAGAGGGTGTTCTACTGCTGCTGGCGGAAACCGGGGGGGGTCACTGGGGGTTCCCAACCCGTCTCCCCCCCTCCCTCGAAAACCGGGGGGAGGGGTCACTGCCGGTTCGAACCCCTCCCCCCCCCCCAATCCATCATGAAAAGAGGGGGAGGGTCACTACCGGTTCGAACCCCTCCCCGCCCCTCGAAAACCGTGGGGGTCACTACCGGTTCGACCCCGCCCCCCTCGCCGCCGGCAAACGATTCCCGCTCCTCGGGACAATTGGACAATGGTGGGGATGCTGGGACAGTGGTGGGAACGGTGGTGGTGGGGACAGTGGTGCGGGAACAGTGGGACAGTGGTGCGGACAGTGGGACGGTGGTGGGGACGGTAGTGGTGGGGACAGTGGTGAAGGCGGTGGTGAGGACAGTGGTGGGACAGTAGCACAGTGGGGAAAGTGGTGGGGACAGTATGAACAGTGGGACAGTGATGGGGACAGTGGGGACGGTGGGACAGCACAGTGGGACAGCGGCGGGGACAGTGGGTCAGTGGTGGGTACAGTGGGGACAGTGGGACAGTGGTGGGGACCGTGGGGAAAGTGGGGAGAGTGGGACCGTGGTGGGACAATGGTGGGGAGAGTGGGGACAGTGAGACACTGGTGGGAGCGCTGGTGGGGACAGCGGGGACAATGCTGGAAACAGTGGGGACAGTGGTGGGGACGGTGGTGGTGGGGACAGTGGTGGGGGGACAGTGGGACTGTGGTGGAAACGGTGGGACAGTGGAGAGTACAGTGGTGGTGGGGACAGTGGTGAGGGCGGTGGCGAGGACGGCGGTGGGACAATGGGACAGAGGTGCAGTGGGGACAGTGGTGGGGCCAGTGGGGACAGTGGTGGGAACAGTGGGACAGCTCATTGGGACAGCGGCGGGGACAGTGGGACAGTGGGCACGGTGGGACAGTGGTTGGGGCCTTAGAGGAAGTGGGGAGTCTGGAACCGTGGTGGGAACAGTGGTGGGGACAGTGGGGACAGTCCGACGGTGGTGAGGGCACTGGTGGGGACAGTGGGGACGGTGGTGGGAACAGTGGAGACAGTGGTGGTGAGGACGGTGGTGCTGGGGACAGCGGTGGGGGATGTGGTGCGGACGGTGGTAGGGACTCGGGAGTCGTTTGCTGGTGGTGAGTGTGGGGGGGTGGAGGGGTTCGAACTGGTAGTACCCCCCCCCTCCTTTTCATGTTGGCCTATAGGTGGGGGGTCCGAACCGGTAGTAGCCCCCCGGTTTTCCCGAGGGGGGGGGGTCGAACCGGTATAGTTACCTCCCTCGTTTTCCGAAGGGGGGGGGAGGGGCTTCGAACCGGTAGTGACCCCCCTCGGTTTTCTGGAGGGGGGGGGGTTCGAACCGGTAGTGCCCCCCCCCCCCCGTTTTCCGGAGGGGGGGGGGTTCGAACCGGTAGTGACCCCTCCCGGTTTTCCGGAGGGGGGGGGGGTTGTTCGAACGGGTAGTGACACCCCCCGGTTTTCCGGAGAGGGTGGGGGGGGGTCGAACCGGTAGTGACCCCCCCGGTTTTCCGGGGAGGGGAGCGGGGGGGGTTAGGGGAGTGGGGGGTTTTGCCGGGGGGAAGGTGTGGGGTCCAGCAGGGGAGGGGGATTTTCGACGGGGGGGGGGACCCCCCGGGTTCCGGAGGAAGAGGTTGGGGAATCTTCCACAGTATAAAGCGGCGGTGGATCACGCTCTCTCAAATGTTTGGGTTCACGATTTCTGGAATCGGCCAGGGGGTAGCTGTGGCTCTTGCCCCCTTGAGTGACCAAGGGTGTCCGCGGTTCGGTCGGTTCGGCTGTTTCGCAGCCAGCTGCATTCGGCCGTTTCTGTTCGGTTGGCTGCTGCGCCGCTGCGTCCTCCCAGGCTGCGCTCGGTCCGCCCGTTTCGGTCGGCCGTCGGTCAGCTCGGTTTTTGCAAGGTTCTGTTGTCGCTGGGTGCGCCCACTGGGGGAGCCCCTCGGCTTCGCTGGCCCTCTCGAGAGATCGGAGGGGGTGAGGAGCACAGCCCCCTCCAGTGGCGGCCGCGCTGTGCAGGCGGTGCAGTGCTGCTTGGACGCGGTGCCCGGGATGGCGGAGGTCTGGGCCGAGTTCGCCGGCGCGGTCGAGGAGGAGGGCGGGGACGCCTGGGCCCAGCCAGAGGCGCTGGTCAGATTCCTGTGCTTTGCCCGGCGTCGCGCTCCCGAGGAGGTGGCGGAGGGGGCGAAAGCCGTGCAGTCGGAGGGTCAGGACCAGGCCCACCGTGGTTTCGAGAGGGGCTCGGTGCTCTGAGAGCGGTTCCCTTTGGTATTCCCCCGGCGTTCCTTGACCGTCTGGTCACTGCCGAGGGCCCCCCCAAGAAATGGGCGTTTGCCTCTCCTCCAAGGTCCCCATTCAGGCAAACTTCGGTTGCACCTGCACTTGTTGGGGGAGTCTTCGTTCCGATGAGGGGCGCGGGCCCCCGCCCAGCCCCCTCCGCCTCGCCCCCCCCCCCCCCCCGCAAGCCAGATCTTGGCTGCTCTGGGCGGCTGCTTCTGGCGCAGATTACGCCCGTTTCGTAGGATAAACCTCAGGATGACAACCTCGAGGGCAGTTGAAAAGTCTCGCTCATTATGTCAAGATGCAGCGAGGTCTGTGCTCTCCTTCGAACATGGTCCCCATGGGCAAAGAAGAAAGAATCGGGCCCACCCCCTCGTCTGCTTGCGCCACCGCAGGAACAGATTGACAATCGAAGGAAAAACAACGGCATGAGCATAATCTGTTGGCGCTCCGTGCGGATCTCTTGGATCCGCGTTGGGCCTCCCCAGCAGCGCCTCCGACGCCTCCTGGTGCGCCAAAAGATTATGTTTATGAAGTTGTGTCCTTCTTCGATTAAGAAAATGCACCGAGCTAGACCCAGACCCCCCACCCTCACCCACCCCTCGGCCAAATGTCGAAATTCTCACAGTGCCCTCGGGGGGCGCACTCGCCTCCGCGGGTGGGCACTGCTCGGAGAACTGGCGCGTCGGGGCTCCAGGAGGGGTCCGAAGACCGATCTTGAGCGGAGGTGGCTGCCGTTGTCTCATCGCGGTTGTCTCATCTGGCCCTCCTCCGAGCGAGGGACCATGCGACGGCTGGGGCAGGATGCCAAGGCCAAGTAAATGGCATGGTAGAGTTTGCGGTCGGTCCAGGAGTCGTCCAGCCACTTGTCTGAGACTCTGTAACCTCGAAGGGTCTTGAACAAACTCGACCCCTTACCCCTGATACCTGGCGCCTGGCCCCCAGCAGCCCACAGGTTATGTGACCGAAAGCACATAGGTGGCCGAAGACATTCCAGAGACTGTGACCAAGAACGTGGTGCGACCGAAAGGGTGACCGCAATTGGAGATCGTGATGGTCTCGAGTCGACAGTTTCGGTCACGCTCCTGGGGCGTTCGGAAAAACTCTGGCGCCGGCTTCGGTCACGCTCGGGCATACTTGCGAGCACGGTTTCGGGCGCTACCCCCCCTCGCTACCCCCCCCCTTGAGAGAGAGACGAGGCTGCGCGATTCACCCCTGGGGGACCCACCGGCTTCGACATCCCCCGTCAGATAACGTTGTCGCCCTCCTCTCGGACCCCGGGGCCCGTGCGGGTCGGTCCCGCTCGAGAGGTGCCGCGGACAGACGGCGTCTAGGATTGAGTCGGGCATGAGCCTCCGCAGGAGGAATATTCAAAAATAGTCCAGACATTCCCCTGTGACGTACCCAACCCGTTTGCATCAAGTGAGACGAGGAGTTGGCCCAATTCTGCCAGGACAGTGCAGGCGCCGCTCTGCGTTGCGCAAGCTACACGGGACGCGTTCGCGTGGCACGGTTCACAGGACAACATCAGAAGGACGAGGAGCGAAGGCCCAGCCTTGAGGATGACACGGGGGCGGGAACGAAGGGCAGGAGGAGGACGCGCGGGGGGCCGACCCGTCAGCGCGGCAGCAGCAAAGGCAGGGTGGCAGGGGGCAGAAGACGACGACGAAGAGCCAGGAGGAAACCGAAGAGTGTTGCTGTTGTCAGCAGCACACAACGATGCAACGCTGCCTGCGCCATGTCGCCGCGGCGCTCGACAAAATGATGAAACCTGCGTATAGTGTGTGCAAGAAGCGAGCGAGGCCTAGCTCGCCCGCCCACTTCCCTTCTTCCTTCCTGCGCTTTTGAGAGCGGGAGCTGACCGCTCGAAGGCGCGCCGCCAGGTTTGAGGCCGGCCCGCGACAGCGCTCCGCTGGACCCCCCAGCAGCCTCGAAAGTGGCGACAGTTTCACAGATCGCAGCCCCACAGGGATGGCGAGGTCTTATCTGAGTCTGTGTGGGACGTCACCTCGCTGGACCCCCCAGCAGCCCTCGAGAGTGGTGACAGCTTCGCAGATCGAAGCCCCACAGGGATGGCGAGGTCTGAGTCTGCGTGGGACGTCAGCTCGCTGGACCCCCCAGCAGCCTTCGAAAGTGGTGACAGCTTCGCAGATCGCAACCCCCGAAGGATGGCGAGGTCTTCTCTGAGTCTGGGAGGACGTTAGTCCGCCCACCAGCAGCCCTCTAAAGTGACGATAGTTTCGCAGATCGCAGGCCCCCCAGGAATGACGAGGTCTACTATGAGTCTGCGTGGGGCGTCATTCCATTGGACTCCCAGCCACCCTCGAAAGTGGCGACAGTTCCGCAGATCGCAGCCCCCCAGGGATGGCCCCCAGGGATGGCGAGGTCTAGTCTGAGTGTGAGTGGGACGTCAGTCCGCTGGACCCCCCTATCAGACCTACTAAGTCCAGGGCGTTAATAGTTTCCCGTGGTGTGGCAGTTTTCCGTGCCGTCGGATCCCAGGGTCGCTCTCCGACAGTTTGTCGATACCATGGGTTCGCCTACTGGATATGAGGAACACGTCTCCCCCCAGTCGTGGCCGGTCGGCCCGACCCCAGGCTCGGGGTTGGCCAGGCCCGGATCGGGGCTGGCGCACGTGGTCTGCCGAGGTTAACAGACCACGAGACTCCGCAGACATGAGCCCAAGGAAGGACAAACCACCCCGACCCCCATCACCGGCCTTTACCAGGCAACCCTGGGTGGTTACTAGACAACCTTGCCCTGTCCGATTCCTTCCCCCAGGTGCGCTCGCTTATGGAGCCAGCTTCCCAGATGGGGTCAGAGCAAATGGGGTCGGTGGGTCGCCGCGCATCGTCAAAACACTGGCGACGCGGCTTGATGCGGAGCCCGGTTTTCTCCTCGCCGACGTCGCCGATGCATCACCGATGCATCGGTGATGTGGCGCGATCCTCCGACCCCAGCTGCTCGGACCCAGCTCCTCTGCAAGGGGCTTCGTCTGTCGGGGTGCTGATTCTGAGGGTGCTTCTCTTGTCCTCCACCAGAACTCGCGCCTCCCAGAGCCAGCTGAGGCCCTCCTAGAGCCATCTCGGGCCACCTCGGATGCTCTGACCGCTCGCGGGGCGCCCCGCCCAGGTCCACAGAGGAGGGGGGGTACGGGGAGGGGCCAACCCCTCCCCGAGGGGGAAGCAGTGGGGGGGCGCAAGGAGAGCCTCTCAAGACCACCTGCGCCCAGAGTTCCCGCGCGGAGTTCCCGCGGGAGTTCCCGCTGCTTCCCCCTCGGGGAGGGGCCAACCCCTCCCCGAGGGGGGAAGCAGTGGGGGGGCGCAAGGAGAGCCTCTCGAGACCACCTGCGCCCGGAGGGCTGCTGGGCCGGCGCGGAGCTCCCGCGCCGGCGCCGGGCCCCCGTCCCCGCGCCGGCGGGCGGGCGCCTCCGGCACCGCCCCCATGGGGGGCTGCGCAGACCGGCGGGAGCGGGCTCCAGTGTGCCCCCTCCCTCCTCCTCCTCCTCCTCCTCCTCCTCCTCCTCCTCCTCCTCCTCCTCCTCCTCCTCCTCCTCCTCCTCCCCCCCCTCCTCCTCCTCCTGGGGGTCCCGCGCCGATCCGGGAGCTGTGCGCGGGCCACAGACACAGGCACAATGCACGACCTGTTGGCCAGGGAAGCGTACGACGTAAGACTCGAGCAAGCCGGAGCTCGGGCTTGCCGATCTTTTCCGACGAGCGCGTCCTGGATGTCGACGGTCCAGCTTTCGTGGGATGCGGGAGCCCGCGTCAAGTTTGGGAGTGGGCCTCGTCATTTTTATGATGGCCCCGTCAGGCCAGCCCGAGCCCCCCGTACCCGAGTCTTACGTCTCCCCCATTTGAGCACCGCAGATTTCTTTTCGGCGCCTGGGCCCTCCCGGGCTGCGCCTCCAGCGCCGCCCCCGGCGCGCTCGGCGCGCCAGGGTAGGAATTTCAGCGCCGACGAAGTTTTGAATTCTGCTAGTTAAGCACATGTTGTCAGCTGACGGCGAGGCGACGGCGACGACACGAGGCACGGCGACGACTGCGAGGCGACGGTGCGACGACGACGGCGACGTCTTTATCCAGAGGTCTGGCGACGTTGACGACGACGACGATGGCGACAGTAACGACGACAATGACGACGACGGCGACGACGGCGATGACGACGACGACGACGACGACGACGACGACGACGACGACGACGACGACGACGACGACGACGACGACGACGACTACCACCACGACGACGACGAGGATGTCCCGAGCCGACCCGTTCGGTTCGACGGACCCGGATCCGGCCCCGGCTGCCGGAGCTCCGACCTGTTGCGATCCGATTCACTCGGAGCTTACGTGAGGAGGAGGAGGAGGAGGAGGAGGAGGAGGAGGAGCTGGAGGAGGAGGAGGAGGAGGAGGAGGAGGAGGAGGAGGTGTCCCCGCCGAGGTGGCGAGCGCGGTCTCGGAGGGACGGAAAGCGGCATGAGCGCAAGCCTCCAGAGGCCCGCGGGGATCCCCTGGGTCAGCGCTGCCCCCCTCCCCCCCCTCTGGGCGCGTGGAGCTCGCCGGAGGCGGCGCCGGAAGCGCCGCCACGTGGGCAGGGGGGGGGGCCAGCGCCGATCCTGGAAGTCCGCGGGTGGCTCCCGAAGCTTATGCTTCGGCTGTCTTCTGTGATGCGAGGTCCGCCACGCGGCCCTGTGCCTGAGCGAGCGCGGCGAGGCCGCGGCGGACTCCCTGCAGCCCAGGGCCGCGCTGTCGCAGGCGGCGGCCTCGCAGGCCATGGCCTCGTGAGGCTCGAGGGCAGGAAACGGCAACGGGGGATGCGGTCAGGAACTTTGGCCTGGCGAGTCCTTCGGGGGTGGACAGAACCCCCAATAGTGTCACGTCGATTAGTGAATTGTCCGTTTTCGGTTCTCGAGATGGCGCCGTGGCCGTTATTTTCCAGGCTTGCGCCCGCCAGGTTTGGGCCTCAGGTCGTTTTCACTAAACCACGTTTTGCTAAAGGGGGGTCTGTCCATCCCCGAGTCCTGTCTCTGGTGCTGGCCCCTCCGCGCTTCGGCGCGACACGCTAGCCACCTCCCCGCCCACCAGCGTCAACGTCCCTAGCGTCTCCCAGCCTCCCGCCCCGCAGAGCTGAGCGAAGCGCACTCCGTTTGCAGGGCACGGCGTGTGGCCTGGGCCGCAGCCGCGACACGCTGAGTAAAAGTTCCCGGCCGTAGGCTCAGGGGGGGGGGGGGGGGGGCAACGTCAGTGGCATCGATAGGTGTTCGGGGTTCGTGTGCCTTGGTTCCTGGAGGCTTTTCGACCTCAAAGTATACTCTCCAACGGCTGCGGCTCGCCGAGGACGTCCCGGGAGGGGCCCGTATCTTACCGAACGGCCTCCAGAGAGCCGAAACATTTGACGAGGATCGGAGATGGGTTCATGGAAGATGCATCGAGCCCCAATCGCCCCTGGATCGCCGATGGGGACCTGATAGCCCCCCCGCCCCAGGGACGCGCGGATTCTCCATCGAGAGCCTATCGCCGGTTGATCGGCAATGTATCGCTGATAGATCTGCGATCGATCGGCCCCTTATCGTCTCCCGTATCGTCCCCCTCACATACGGCGGGATCGTGTCGTGTCGACGCGGCGGCGACCCCAGCGCGGGCGTTCAAGGTTGATCGCTGCCAGCCAAGAATCGGCCAATATTCGACGATGTGCGTTATCGGGGAGGCAGCCAGCGTTCAAGGGACAACGCGGAAGTCGCCACGACACGAGCCTGCCGTAGAAACGTTCGGGTTCCGCGCGGGTGTGTGGCTTTGGCGCGGACATGTAGTCCTGGCGCTGAGACCACACAAACCGCTTCGGATCACACAAACCGCTTCGGATCACTTCGGGCTCAGCAGGGGCTCTAGCTTCCGGGCCCTCTCGTGGAGCCAGGCCAGGGAGCCTGCCCGAGGCTCGCTGTGGCTGTGAGCGTCTGGGGATGCGCGCGGACTCCTCGGGTCGGCGCTGGGAGCTGGGACCCCCCTCTTCCCGCGGCCGCGGCGGGCAGCTCGGGCACCGCCCCGCCCCAGGCCGCAGCCGCGAGGGAGCCGGTGCCAGCCTTCGAGGCAGGAGCGGATCTCTCGGGGCGTCGCCGGGTCCCCCCTCGCCCAGCGCGTCGGCATCACGTCACGGTGCTCTCACGGCACGTTCGCCTGCAACCCTGGGGGCGGCGCGCGCGCTGAAAGATCTTGCAGTACACCTCGGTGTCTGGCGCCTGCTGGCCATGCCGCTCGGCAAACAAGTTACATCACAAGATGTGTGTCCTGTATGTTCGGGTCGGGCGTGCGCCTCCAGCAGAGGCGCACAGTGCCAGGATGGCCCTGTGCGTCCTGCGGCGCGCGGGGCGCGCCGAGTGGGGCCAGCGCCGCCCCAAGAGATCCCCTCGGACCCGCGAAGGTGTGCACGCTTGTGCAGCTTTCCGCCCACCTCCAGAGGCGCCGCGGGCGGCGGGCCGCGGGCTGCGGGCCCCGGGATATCAGACGAGTTGGTGCGCTGCATTCCGAGAGCGCTTGATGCTCCTCCTTCTCCTCCTTCTTCTTCTCCTCCTCCCTGTCATCCTCCCTCTCATCCCTGCTCCCTTTTCTCCTCCCTCCTCCTCCTCCTCCTCCTCCCCCCTCCTCCTCCTCCTCCTCCTTTCCTCCTCCTCCTCTTCCTCACTTCCTCCTCCTCCTTGTCCTCCTCCTACTCCTCCTCCTCCTCCTCCTCCTCCTCCTCCTCCTCTCCTCCGCCTCCGCCTCCGCCTCCTCAACCTCCTCCGCCTCCGCCTCCACCTCCTCCTCCTCATCCTCCTCTTTCTCCTCCTCCTCCTCCTTCTCCTCCTCCTGGGCTCCACCTGGGGGCGAACAGCGTCTGTCCACTTTCAGCCGTGAATGCATGGCCGAAGGCGCATCTTGCAACCGCCTTCGGCCACGCAATGCGGACATGGCTCACCAGACCAGAGGGTAGAGTATGCCTCGTGGACAGGGAGCCTGACCTGCGACTGGATTCGATACACCTTCGCATCGAGTCTGAATTTACCTTTGGCGAGCCTCTTCAAGGTCTTCCGAGCAGAGTCCGAAACGAAATCGGGACACGGGCTCGTGAGGTCGGAGACACGCGAAACAGCGAAGCACGGACACCGCGTGCATCCATCCACGAGCGGACCACCGTGCATCTGGATCTTGACAAGGGCGTGCAATCTGGATCCCGCGCCCAATTTCTCCTGAGCAGCACGCACACGACTAACCAAATTGGTGGGCACAGGATCGCGAACGAGAACGAGCTGGGGAATTGGGGCCTTGCCACGAGAGTACCGCCTGGACTGCCCACAGTCAGAAAGCCCCTCGCACAATCGCCCCACCCAGGTGCCCCCGCTTTGAAAAAACCTGGCGTCTCGCCTTCAGCTGCAGCACAGTACTGAAGGCGATGCGCGAACACTCAGCAGCGCCTGTTGCCGCCTCATCGGCCGCCAAGATGCCGAAAAGATGCGGAGCAGAAGAAAGGCCCAGCTGAGCATCAACCAGGGCAGCATGGCCCTTCACATTGAGGTCGTATCTACCCCCCCCAGTCGTCCTACACCCGCCACAAGATCCACCAGAGGTGAGCGCGAGAGGCGACACAGGCAGTAGTAGCATCCCGACCTCTCTCGAGCAAGCCATCCCAGACATACTACGAGTCAGTGAACACACGTACGGGCAGCAGCGCAAAGCGCAAAATATGAATTACAGCGATCAGTTCGTCGGCGCTGACGCACTGCTGCGGTTCGAGCACGGGGCCAGCGACACTTGAAACAACCTGATTGAGATCTGGGCGCAAGGTTACGCACCCCCACCTAGCGTTGGCCAGGCTGGGATGCTCTGCCTCAAAGACCGATCCATCAGCATAAATGTATATATCCTGCGAACTCTGTGGGGCCTCCCTGCCCGCGAACTACAGGAGGCCCAGGGGGAGGCCTCTGAAACTCGGGCAAGGGCAAGAGACCGACCGCGCTCGGCAAAAATGAGCGCAAGCGGCGACGACGCCGCAGCGGCAGCAGCACTGGCTCAAAAGGGGGCTGATCCTCCAGCTCCTCGAGCTTAGAACACGCACAGTGTCGATGCAAAAGTGGACCTTCCTGTCTGGGGCACAGAAGGCAATCGGGAGAAGTGCCGTAGCCAGCAGCCCACTGGCGTTTCTGGTGCCACTGGCCCCCAACGATGGTGCTCCGAAGGTGCGCGTTGTGCATGGCGGACAGCCGACTAGAGCTGCTAAGCAATGCCTTCAAGGAGCTAAGAAATAGACCTTGCACAAGCCCGGGCTGCTCGAGATGGCCGGCAAGTTTCTCGCACTGCCACGCTTCCACCGCGCGATACAACAGGGCCTGGATGGTGACGGGGGAGTAGTACGAGGGATTGGTGACGGCCCCGTCGGGCCAGGTCCAGGAGAAGGCAGAGGCAGCAGTAATGCCCGCGCGCTTGAGAGAAGCCCACAGGGCACAAAAGGGACCCTAAATGCAGGACCAAGGGTGCTTGAGCCCAAAGAGTTGCCAATGAGCCCCACGGAGCCCGAAACCGAGAGCCTCCGACGGCATCCAAGAATGCCACATGGCATGCAGAAAGGCTTTGACGGGGAGCCACGTCGCCCTGCAAACGGGGCCCAGATGGGGCACTGGGGAGAGCATGAGAGCAAGCGCGCGCGACTTGTCATCCTGGTGATGGTCCTGGAGCCTGCCCGCAGCACCTCGCAGGACCTCCAGCTCTCGCCCGTTCGCGCCCATGGCCGAGGCACCGCGCGCGACGGACTCTGGCGCCCTCGAGGCAAGACACGCGGACCCCCCGCTGGCGCGAAACCTTTGATCCGCCCACGCGCCGTTCCTTTGCCCCCGACAAGCCCGGATCCAAAGTCCACCCCCAAGATTACGCTCGGAACGAACAGGCAAGGGCTGGAGGCTCTTGAGATAGCGAGCGATGGCATCTCGCACAGAGGCCGCGTTCCCAAGAACACGAGACTTGCTCGGCGCAAAACGCAGATCGATTTCTCGCAGCCTTTGATGCAGACGTTTGCCAGCATTCGAGATGTCGCGAACAACTCTGGACTCCACGCCCCGGCGCACGGGGCCGAAGCCACATACATTCACAGACAGTTGGGCGGCGGGGCAGGCGGCTTGCGCAGCGTCCAAAGGTCCTACCGTAACCAATTTGCAGCATGCAGGTGGTAGACGTACTGGCACAATAGATTGCTCAACCTCGAGCGAAGAACCGACCTCCCCTTCCGAGGACGCGCGGCGCACGATAGATCTGCACCAGGAGATGCATTTGCCACATCAGGAAACTTGTAACCTGAGCGGCCACTATCAAATGATGATGCTGCACCAGCTCGAAGGCATTCTTCAAGTTACAAGCAACGTGGCACGCGGGCGATGCTGATTTGTGGGGCGTTTCAACCAACCCGCTTGGATCTACGCGCGCGCGTTTCCTAAGACTTCCCGTGAGTGGATCAAAAGAACGAACGGCTGCCATTGACGAATGAGAGGATATCTCAAGCGACATTGCACACGCGCCGAAACATGAAGGAGCCCCAAGGGCGTGACGCTTTCGCCCTTTGGAGGGTGAAAAAATCCGATTCCACAGAACAGGCCACTCGCGCGCGCGCTCGACGCGGCGACTTAGCCCACGCGGGAGGGGGATGAGAGCTTGCAGAGCGCGGGCATCCCCCCCCCGACGAATGCCGACCATCAGGCGATCGCAGGCATGGATCAAGGAGGGGCGGATTAGCGACGGGCCCCGCTTGCATGGGAGATCGCTGATTTCCGCCGCCGAACGGGGCGGCGCTTGCCGCATTCTGGGGAGGGCACCTCCCCTGATTCATGGATTTGGCGACCGCGCGCCAGATCCATGGATCGCTAGTCCACGCTCGCGCGCCCCCGAGACCAACCCGCCCATCCAATTCAGATCCCTTGGCCCAAGCTGAGAGCTGGCGCTGCCGCTTCGCCTCGCCGCCTGCCGGCTGGGCGAGAAACTGGGCGAGTGGCGGCGGGAGGGAGAACGCCTCTTTCAAGGCGGCCGTCCGCGCGGCCGACTCGGCCGCGCGGGGCGGCCGATGAAAACGAGAGAGCCCGTCGGCCTCGCTGGCAAGCTGAGACCTGAAGGGGCCTGTCGGCTCGCGGCCAAAGTCGGCCAGCACGTCGTGCACCTTGCGCCGCCAACATGCGAGGGGGGGCAACTTGCGGAACTTCGGAGGCGACGGCGTAGAGGGGGGTCTCTCACGCGCGCGGAAAGGTTTACCCCTGCCAGCGAAGAGCTCACAACGATCTCCAGAGATCTGAAACAGATGGGGCGCTGAGTCTCCGCGGCCCGCGCGAAAGTCTCCGACTTATCCTGGGCCAGGAGGCCAGGATCAGCACGACAATCACAGGCGCGCCCCCAAGGGTTGACCTCAGGGGGGGGGAACCGCGAGGGAGCTCCTCAAGGAACCTCTGAGAGACCTGGACAAACTTAACCTGGCACAGGGGTTCCACACAAGGAATGACCATCCCAACGGGGAGGCGAAGAGAAGAGAGAGAGAGAGAGAGAGAGAGAGAGAGAGAGAGAGAGAGAAAGAAAAAAGAAAAATAGAGAGAGAGAGAGAGAGAGAGAACAAAAAAAAGAGAGAGAAAGAGAGAGAGAGAGATAGAGAGAGAGAGAGAGCAAAAGAGAGAGAGAGAGAGAGAGAGAAAAAAAAAAAAAAGAGAGCGAGAGACACGCCATGAGTCACTTCTGCCCGAGCCAGACCTGCAATCTGCTTGGCAACGACAGCAATCAGTGCACCTCGTGACTGGCATGCGCGCGCCCCCGGGAGGCGCCGCGACGACGGCGTCCATCGCCTCGACCCAACGCGTCTTAACCAGGTCTTCGTGCGGGATATCCCAGTCACCACCGACGACGAAAGGGAGGCCCGCGGCTTTGAGATGCGCCCCAACTTTGGACAGGTTGGCCCAGTTCTGGTTATTGACGCCGACGAAGTGCACCATATATAGATTGACCACCACGAAGCCACCCCGTAGCATGTCTCCCACATGACGCACAGAGGCGCGGGTAGCAACAACATCTCGATCGAAATGCACGAGCGCACTGAGGCCAGCCCGCTCGACAGCAGCCTCGACCAAGCCCCCTGAAGGATCGCCCACAGCCGGCAGCGCCGCACACGCAGAGGCTGACCAACCAGAGGCACGCATCTTCGCCCCCAGCGAGCCGAAAACCATCGGGAACGCACGAGACTCCTGCAACAAAAGCATATTGGATTGAACCTGCTCGGCAAGGCAGGCGTCCAAACCAGGCTGTCCGCCCACTTTTGCCGCGACGAATGCCCACTCCTTGCGCCTGCGAAATGCGCGGCGCCTCCTCGGCGGCAGCATCGGCAGGCGCGTCGAAGGGAGTGATCTTGAACTTCTTAAATGCAGCGTCGCTGAGCCCACCAGGGACGTCGTCGCACTTCTTGCACGGCCGGCGAGTACACAGGTCATAGTTGCATTCGTCACGCATCTTGTTATTGCTCGTTGTAGTCTCACTATGTGCTGA